CTGCTGGCTGTTCGGAATAGGATCGTGACAAAAGGAGTTGCCTGGCTCTTGGTTTCTCTGTGTCCTCTAAATGGAGACGTCTTCCACAAGTCATCTCATTGCAAGGGGAGTTATGCCTGAACAATGATAATGATGATAATCTTTTTTTATACTTGTTTTCATCCAATCTCAAAACAGTATCTAAAAGAGATAATTGCAGTCATACACACATGGAAGTTGCACTGCAGCAATTAGTTGCCCGAGGACACCCAGAAGCCCAAGGGCAGAGCTTTTTTCTAAAGACAATACCAGATTCATTAGTGAAAACACTCAACCAAGAAAGAGAGAAAAATGCTTGCTATATGCTTCTAGCCCCTATACACTCCCCTGATGTTTTGTGAATCAGGTTTTAGTAGCTCTGCACATTGCAGGTTTTGTGCATGGGTAGGTTCTGGAATAGTGCTTGTCTTGGCAGTAAATATATGGAGTATAGAAATAATATTCCAACTTTCAGATATATTAATAGGATTTTGCTTATGATTGACATATACTCCTGACATATGTTACACACACTCGTAGTGTAAAAATATTTTTAATAATATTTACAACTTTTATATCTGATACAAAGGAACATACTTTTATCTAAAAGTAGTATTTGCAATATTAGCAGGAGTTTACTTAAACATTCAAAAAAAGTAGAACAACTATTTAGGCTTAAAAAGTGGAATACATTGTACTTAAATTATTTAAGTAGCCTGTACTTGTCCTATTAAACCAAATGTAGAATGTGGTATAAGAATTTGTATGTGCTGAAATGGAAAATTAATAAGTAACTTAGCAGCTTCTACAAATGGTGAACATGGAAATGGTGGTAAATAATTAAATGAGATGGACCTGACTAGCAGCATGCGGAACTTGAAGTTATCTCATTTAATAAAAATCTATTAACTTGAGTTAATCAGACTTAATCTTTAGTATTTTGCTTATGCCAACTGCATTTACTTGAACTGAAACTGCATAATTGTTTCTGTCACTTCAGGAAACATTTTTGATTGGGATAATAGAGTCAATGTACTTAAGTACTTGAACGTGTTGCAATGGATCGTGTCCAGAAATAGGCTAACTGTATTCAGATTATCATGTCATGTACCAAAGGTTTTTTAGCATTTGGTTCAGAGGATCAAATTGCCAACCTTGTCATGTCTTTATTACAAGGTTCTTTTCTAAAATGTGTACTGATTGTTGGCTTTGGACTTCTTGTTTCAGACTTCTAACTATCAAAGCAACTTGAAAGGCCCATATGTCACAATACAAAAGATGCCTTTCTTATCTTTTCCTCACATAAATCTTTGCGTATCTGCCAAAAATTAGATTATACTGACTTGCAAACTAGTTCTTGGGCAGCAGTAATGTGTTTTGACATAAGCTCTGGACTTGAAAGCAGATACAACTCCAATAACGTGATGTACGTAAGATGTTAAAAGTGGCTGAGTAACCCTGGTAGTCGCAGTTCTTTAGCTTCTGCTTGCGTTATGCTCAGAGCAAAAGGGAAAAAACAAAACAACAAATTGGTCTGATTACTTTTGACAATTGGTCAATGAAACTGCAATTTTCAGAATACGTCAGTATAATGATACATTACTTCGTGGATGTAAGTTTCTTATTTCAACATCTTCCTGCATCCCTCTCTAATAAATATAAGCGAATTATTTTGTTCTTTATGAATTGGACAAATATAATTTAACTTTCTGTGTTTCCACAGGGGAAAATATCCTTTCTTTTAATTGTATTACATAAATAAAGTTGCATCAACTAAAATGAGCTAACTTTTTTTCTTTTCTCTATCCCTATTGTATTCAGTGTCTTTTTCTTCGGAGCCGTCCTTGTAATAGCAGCTACTTTCCTATACGGTTATGATCCCAAACCTGCAGGAAATCCTATTAAGGCATAGCAGACTTCCTCATCAACCTGCTGCTCAAGATCATGCACTGGGGGCCTTGCTAACGGTGGCATGGGGAAAGTGTCATTGGGCACTGCAAGGAAAGGATTACTACCCTGAATCTGTTGAAGAAACGCTTATGAGTAGTTTTGAACAGCCAGAGGGATTAAAGGTGGATGATGATACTGTCTGTAACTGATGAGGAAAAAAAAAAACAATAAAAAAAAGGCAGCAAGGGAATGTCCCGTGCAACTTGCTAATAAAAACTTGAAAGGAACAAAAAGTTTCCAAGAAACTGCAATTAGGAATGTTTACAGCTTTTACTGGGATTGCATCAAAGGAATTTACTGTATTGACTGCTGCATACGTCCTATGCACTCTTTGAAAGAGCACATGACAATAATGTCAGATTGTATGTTTTTGCAATTTGACTCTATTTAATCTTAGTAAATATGTTTTTAACTATTTGTCTATTTACAAGAAATCAGCTGAATACACATCTTAGTCCTAAAGTGATGGTTCTAATTAGGTATTCTGTATTAAAACTGTGAAGATTGAAGTATGATTGAAAGACACTTTCACAATATCAAGTATTTTTATATTTTTAGAAGGCTGATTTAATAACAGAAATCTGTTATTAAAATATATTATTATAATTCTGTTGCTTATATAAAACTATTGTAAGAATGTTAACATTCTCACCTAAGTACACAAAGGGAGAAATTCAGAATGAAAGCTGGAAATCTTTGTTGGTACTCCAGCCGTCATCAGGACAGCCTGGAGCATTCCAAGAGATGCAATAACTCTGTGAACACAGGCTGGAGGTGTCTGCACTAACCTGGTACTGAGAATAGGGTTATGATGGAGTTCTTGCTCAGATGTAATGTTCATTCTTTTTTTTTTTTTTAATTGATTATAAATCAGCTTTTTTGTAGAACCTTTAAAGTAGTTTTTATGCTTTAAATATCCACTGGGAATTTTTTTAACCACAACTTAAAAAAAAAAAAAAGCCCATAATAAACACTTTAAACCCATTACTGTTGTCTGTAACAGCTCCATCTGGAGCTATTATGGTATATCATCTGTGTACTGTACTTTATTACAGAGGTGTCTTTTAAACAAGTGTTGTTTACTCATGAACTCTCCAAGGCTTTTTCAGTACATTTCTATGTAATGGCTTAATTATAGAATTTATTATTATTGTTATTATTTTGTTCTGGGAGTCCTTGAGCCAACAGACCACAATGGGTTCTCTGGAGCTATTCAGTCTGCAAGTGGAACTACTTTAATAGGAAACATAATGAGAAAGTAATTAATCGTGCAATAGGTAAATATAAAAGCGTGCTGTTCTTCTGTTATAAACCAAAAAAACTTCACAAAGAAACCTAGATGTAATTAGAACTTAGATCAATTAGACTGTTATGAATACTTCACTCGTTGAAGTATTTGCACGTAGCCAGAAACACCAAAAAAAGCCAGAACTAAGAAACAAAAAAAGCTGTTTTAAACATAATTTGTTTTCAGGAGACCTGTTCACAATGGCTATTAATGTAGATTGACTTCATATCCGCGTTACACTTGTAGAGGTGTACATTTATACAAAAACAGATCAGTAGTCCCTTACCTGTAGAAGGGCAAATGGTAAATATGTGTGATTTCCTTTCCCTATGCCCCATGCTCACTCTTGCTTCTGTCTTGTGCTAATGAACATGTTGTGAGGAGAGAGGTGTTTTAAAATGTTTATCAAAGTACCTCATCCTCCTTCCCACATTTTGGTGGTGGATTGACAAGGTGATTCTGTAAGAGTGCTCTGAGACTTTTTAAATGAAGTACTGTAAATGGGGAAGGAAAAACTCCGATTACGTCAACCAAGTAAAAATAGTGTTTTCCTTCTGTTGGCAATGACATGGATTATCAGCTTTTTGTATGTTTATTGTATCAGAGGAAGACATTAAAGAGATTTCAGAGTTATGCCAAGGGCTTGCTAAGCTTTGTGAACTGTGAATCTGGCCTAGCATGCCATAATTGCAGGAGCTCTTCTACTTGGTAGTCAAAACTATCTCAACTTACCCTAAATTGGCATTCTGTGTTAATATTAAACCTTTTAGCTGTAATACTTGATGTGCAAAATCTTTGAAAAATTACGCTTAGTCATTTCTCCACTGAAATACCACGTGAGGTGAAGTGTATGCATAGAACAGTGGCTCACAGCATTGCTTAGCGTAGAGTGGGAAGTGCATGACTCTGAAATGATCTGAGAAGTATTGGCAGTAATAGCTGAATTGGAGTTTGGCCTACACTATAGTGCTTTTAATTTCATGAATCACAGTAGTGGAGATGTTCAGGCGATATAGTTGGTTACTTCCTTGAAGAGTTTCTGCAAAAAACATTAACAAGCAGGTTGAGAACACTTTAAAGCCAGTTGCACAGGAAGGGACCAAACAGGCCAAATTGCTGGAGTTCTGTTACATATGACCCAGTTTTAATATTTCAGGTGCACCTGTCAATATTTGTCAATAAAAATCAGTTTAAAGGAAAGAACAGGAATATGTGCTCTTTGCTTTTGAATAGGATGTCATACAGCTTTGGAAACAATCTATCTACCATGCTAAGGGACAGTAAGTCCTGTCTACAGGTCAGTGACTCTTTCATGCTTTCAACTGACAGTTCCATTAAATTTTTCTTTATACACTTTTTGCTGTAAAGGAAATAGGAATTTGCATTTTGAGCTGTCTTTCCTTAGCCCTTTACAGGCCCTTTACAGCTAAAGCAAGACTCTTGTCTGAGGCCCTCCAGATTGAAAAGCATTATTCTAGGAAAGGCAAAACAGCATATGTTTCTTGAGAACAGAAGGGATTTGAAGAGGGTTTACTGATTTCTGTAACCTCTGCAATCTGAGAGATATGCACATTTTCTTATTGAGATACTTTTGTGTCTGGATTTTTTTTTTTAAAGGGCAGTTTTAAGTCTGTAACTCATTAACTAACCAAAGAAGCATAGCTAGCACAGAGCATTGGGAAGCTGGGGATAGTGTGCTTTGCGTTTGCCCTAGAAGCACTCTGCAAAAGTCTAACTTTCAAAAAATAATCCTGTCTTTCTGAACTGTTTTTTCTGACATTTAGACAATGGCTTTGTTAGTTTAGTTGTATGTTTAGGAGGCTAACCTACACTTAGCAGAATTTTATTTAAATATTTATAAAGTTATAGCTAGATATTTATTTGCAATAACTTTAATTATGTGGGGGGTTTTTTTTAAAGACTTGCATAATGAGAGTACTAGTATTTATTGAATACACAGATATTTGGTAGTTTTATTTGAGAATCTCTGGGATACTTTTGTGTCTGGAAAATAACAATAAATGGTCAAATAACAATAAATGTAGAACTATCTTAAAAGCAAAATTAATCAGCAGTTCAGTGGCGAAAAATCTTGAGTCTAATAAAATAAACTTTTCTTTAAACATTGTATTTCTGTGCTATCCACAAGTGCCCAATAATCTTTTTTTCTCCAAGAATTCAGATAATTTTATAGTTCTATTCTACTTTGTTTTAGACAAACTCTAAGAAAACTTCCCTTTTTGTTTGCTTTAATAATGGGTAGATCTGTGTTCTAGATCCAGCTTCTACAAGATAACACCTTGGGGGTTTTAAATTTTTAGACGCTTATTTTTCCTCAAAAAATAAAAATATTATTTTGGTAGCATATACTTGCGTTCAGTTACTCGTACAGTCCTCTCACAGATTTTTAGTAGTACGTGATTTTTTTGTGTTCCTAACTTATTTTTACGGCTGTAATTCAAAAGACTGTAATGGATTTTGTTGAATTGTTTTAAAATTGATAAATGAAACGTTGAAATTCTTCTGGTTTTCGTTGTCAGTAACTTTCATATTTTAATACACTTCCTTGTCAGACATGCATGTTCTGTTGTATTTAAGCACTCCTCATGTTCCAAATTGTAAGTTGTTGCTCATTTTTCTCCTGTTGACAGTGTTTCTTGCTGGATATTGTGAATGAGAAAGATTATTCATTGTTTTCTTCTCCAAAATCCATGTTTTGTAAGAATGAGATGTTAAAAAAATATTAAGGGAGTTTTTTGTGTATTAGAAAGGTGGTATTTATCTACAACATGGTATTATACCATATATGTGGTAGTGTATCATTACCTATGGTGTTCAGTTATTGTAAGAAAGTCCAATAAGTGTTTCTTTGCCTTTGTTTTCATTGTTCTGTTCATTTTTAATGCTGATTATTTTCCACAGGAAGTTACTGAAGAGTTCTACTGTTTCCAGGTAAGCTATTTTTAGATATCTAGAATTAAGATATTTTTACTGGAAAAAATGCAGGGGAAAATGCAACAAGTGGGATTAATTAGATTATATCTTCTGCTCCAGTTACTGTGAATCCAAATTTCTGTTAAGTTGAATTTATAATTTTTTCTAATTGTTTCCAGCTAGGTGAATTTATAATTCTTTCTAGATGCAAAAACATCTGTCCTGAGGCACCATTCAGTGCTCATTCTTGAATGTCTGCTGCATATTTGCATCCAAGAGTAGACATAACATTTTTAACTCTTGCCTTCAACCTTCCATTATCGTTCTGATTGTAATTAGCCATATTCATTTCATGAGCATTTTATAGCTCAGTAAAATTGCTTATACACTTAAGCATGTGTTTATATTTGCTGCCATGAGTAATACTTTTTTAGATTTTTAAAATTTTGTCTTTATTGTCTATGTATTTTAAATTTAATTTTAAATATATGAGACAAAATATAAATCATATATTCAAACATTGTAGCAAAAATTTTAAGGTAGTCAGGATTTTTTTATATGTTGATGTTGATATTTGTGTGTGATTACACTGAATACAATTCTAATGTAAGGTGTTTCCAGGCAGTTTGGAAACAGGTTATTTTTTTTTTGGTATAACTTTGAACCATGGAATGCATCTTACATGACCTAATACAGTCATTTTTTTAAATCCATATTGAGGTAAAATACTGTATTTTTTCCTCCTGTATTTGTAGACAATGTCACTATAGTAATTAACTGGTTATAATTAAGTACCAGCTTTATTAAGAATATGATAGAAAACTGTGAGAGCTTTGTAAATGGAGAGGTTTGCCTTATGCATATTTTAGCAGAAATAAAACAATGTTTTGTTATTTCAGAAAATAATTTTTGGCATGATTTCATATAAACTGCAGAAGGCTACTGTAAGATGTTTGCTAATGATATCTTTTAACATACAGCTTACTGAATTTTGCCAGAAATTTAGTTTTGACTGAGACATGCTTCTTTTTGACCAGTGTGTTATGACCACTTGTGAATCACATTCCAGCTGTGTTCTTGTGACTGTCTGTCTCTGCCCTCTTCTGGTCTGCAGTTCCTGAACAGGAGGTGGTAGGGAGCATCTGGGTATCAAGTCCCAAGTTATAGAATGGTGTACGATTGTAAAACACTGCAAACCTTTGTAGAAGAGTTTTGCCAGAAGTTACCAGGAGGCAGCTGGTGATTCAGTAGCTTTCCCACCCCCCATTTTAAATATTTAATTTTGATAGCAGTGGAAAGTACTATACAATATACTTTCTAGAATATAACACAATCTGTTGATTCATATTACAGTTTA